CTGTTTATCTATTCATTTACATATATAATCATGGTAACAGTAACAGCAACAACAATAACAATAGTTATAATAATAACAATGATGATAATAATTATTATTGTTATTACTATTCCTATTATTTTTTGTTGTTACTTTTACCATCATCAATATTGATATTATTTTCATTATAATTATCATTATTTCTATTATCATCATTATTTTATCAATATCACTATTATTATTACTATTTGTTGTTTCATTTTTCATATTACTATTATTACTATTACCATCATCATCATCATCATCATCATCATTATCATAATCAGTGTCATTATCATCATAATAATCATCATTATTAGTATTACTTTTATCATAATGATTATAATCACTATTATTACTATCGTTATTATTATTGTTGTTGTTAATAGGATCATTATCATTGTGATCATTTTATCATCAATATTATTACTACTGTTATTATTTCTATTTTTAATATAATTTTTATGATTTTCATTGCCATTATTATCATTATCATCATCATTATCATCAACATCATCATCACCATTGCTATCATTATTACTATTATCGTTATCATTATCATTATTATTATCATAATTACTAATATTATTCCTACTATCTTTATTATTATCATTATTACTATTATTATCATTATCATTATCATTATCAACATTATCTACTATTCATTATCTATCATTATCATGATAATAACATGATAATACTACAATTATTATCATAGTTATCACTATTACTATTATCATCATTATTATTATCATCATTATTTCTAACACTACCATTTCAATTATTATCATTATCATTATCATTATTATGTTGATGATGAGAATGATAATGATAATGATAATAATGAGAATAATGAGAATAACAACAACAACAACAACAACAATAATAATAATAATAATAATAATAATAATGATAAAAATGAAAACAATTATAATGATGATAATAATAATGATAATAATAATGATTGATGATGATGATAATAATAAACACGATACCAATAATGAAATTACATTAGTGATAATAATGATAATAACAATAATCAAAACAATCGAAATCATAATAATAATAATATCAATAATCATAGTAACAATAATAGTATATTACTAACACTACTGATATCAATAATGATCAGAAATAATAATAATGATAACAACAACGATAATAACGAAAAATAATGATAATCAGAAGAATAACAACAATAATAAATTACAACAACAATAATAATGATAATGTGAATATATGAATCACTAAAACAGACAATATATATCCAGGTACTCGAAATATAAACATCGAAGTTACCCTCGCACGTAATCTTGCACAAACAGAAAACGTTCATTCACCTTTACGCCAAAGTGCATAAAAGCTCCTTAAGTCTTGACGTTTCCTTCACTTCTACGTCTCTGAACGTGCCTAATCATCTGTATACTGCAAAATTTCGTACTGCGTGCAAGGTGAACGTGCAACAGCAAAAAGTTATTTGCGGTGTGCCTTACCATCTGTGTACTGCAAAAGCTAGTAATGCGTGCAAGGTGAACGTGCAGCAGCAAAAACGATTATTTTTAGTGTGCAGAGAAGGTACTGCATTTGACATAATCAAGTTTAAATAGCAACAGCACGTAGTGAAGAGAAGATTCCCCTTTTTAGGTTTCACGCGTGAGTCGCCAGAGGAAACTAGCCCTTCTGGACAGCACGTTAGTTCAACGGTTTTTCGACTTGTAGGAAAAGTCTTGGCATTTTAAGGCTTTTTTTATGACTCATGATATGTCAGTTTCCTGTTAATACACATGCTACGTGTTGCCAGTCGTAGGTGATAAACCTTTTGTTTCATGTTTTTTTTTGGGTGGTTGCGTCATGTACGTATTGTATTCTGTACGTACTGAAGACTTTGGGTCCTTTGCTAATTGTATATATTTGTCTATATTGCTATACCCCGCATTATGATAAATTAATTCATGTAATAATAATAATAATAATAATAATAATAATAACAAACAATATAACATGATAATGGCAACTGCCAACAGCAACAAAGACAGTAATGGTAATGATGATAACAATTACAATAAGAGTGACGATGGTGCCATAACGGTAATGTTGATTATAACAAGATTTGATAATAATAATATGAATCTGATAAACAAATGTATAATCGAGTAAATTAACCGATCCGGAAAAGCACAAAAGCACAACTAGCAACCTTTCCTCAAGCAGTTACCAGGAACCTTCAAGCAGTACCACATCCACCCATTCTCATTCAAACCGTAAATATTTGCCTTCTTTAAGACTTTAAGTACGTTTCCTCTGTATCTACATCCTTGCACGTGTCTGCTCATCAGTGTACGGTAAGATGTTGCATTTCGTGCAAGGACGTGCGACAGAAAAGGGACTTACTTGCGACGTGCAGAGAAGGTACTGGTGTTATGTGAATGTTGCTGAAGGCAACTGAGCATTGTAAGCATGACTTTTGTCTTCTTTTGTATAAAGGGTGCACACGCATATATATATCTGTATTTATCTATCGGTTTATCTATCAGCTGACCCATCTATCTACCTCTATATCGAACTGTTTCTAAAAGAAAAATGAAATACATTGTAACGATCGCTTTCTCGCTGCTGTTGTCGTTCTCTGCCAGATGTACAATAATTCATTGTGGCAATAGCGGTTGACTGATCATGAAATCTGATCGAGCATGATCACAAAGCTTAAAGCGATTTTGGTTGCCGTGATAGTTCACAATCCTATATGACGCTGTGTGTATGTGTGTGTGCGTGTATGCGTGCGAGTATGCGTGCGTGTGCGTGCGTGCATACGCATATACACAATTCCACTGCAGGACATTGGCCTCTCACAAAACTTTATTGAGATTGATTGGCATTGCCACACTTGCTGATTATGCCATTTCTAATCAAGAGTCAACGCGACTTCCCCCCCCCCCCACGGCGTCTGCGTGTAATCTCTCAAAGCGATAAGTCGTTTTCTCGCCGTGAGATGGGGCTCGCGTCAGCAGTCGGAACTCAGGCATTGTGCAACTTCCGCGGCGGGAATTTGAATCCGGGACTACGAGGTTCGGAGTCCGTTTGTGCGCGTGTGTGTGCACGTATGTGTGTGTGGTGTGTGCCAAAAATATATCCTATATATATATATATATATATATATATATATATATATATATATATATATATATATATGTGTGTGTGTGTGTGTGTGTGTGTGTGTGTGTGTGTGTGTGTGTGTGTGTGTGTGTGTGTGTGTGTGTGTGTCCCATCGTTTCTCCTTTTTCCTGATGTGTTTGCTCTTAAAGATTAAAAGTTCGGTAATCAAACGTAATACCATAATTACAAACGCGCGCACGCGTTCACACACACACATGCATATATATATATATATATATATATATATATATATATATATATATATATATATATACACACACACACATATGTATATATATACTATATTTATGGATATATAAAGAAATATACCATGTGTGTATATATATCATATACCAACATAAATGTAGTTACATAGACGTATTTACTCCTAGACAAATGTATTGTAGAGTGGTTTCATACTATCAATGTTTGTTTGTTTCTTGGCAAAAGTCTCCAAAATGTAATAGATAATCTAGACAAAAACATGGAACTCTCTTACCTGTGGATTATGATAATTTAGTCCAAAGTTTAACTTAACAGATGACCGAATGAGAGCGCATGATTACACTTTGACAATCCCAACAGCATTCGTGGCGCCGAGAACCTCGTGATACGTACTGTGGGCCCTAATCACAGTCTGCTTAGGGACCCTTTAAAAAGCCTATACTGGCCCTGATCATAACCCTTATCTAAATGCTTATCAGAAATGTATGCGACTAATGTGGAGGTCATATGACCCAGTGGCTCCTGTATATATTCTTTCTGGAGAAGTTATGGGAAAATACTGTGACGAGGGCTAGTGTGGATCACTCGTTCTCTCTCTCTTGCCTTAACTAGCAGTAAGGAACACATAAAACTTTCCACGAACAAGGTCCTGGCGATCGCTACCTTCGGAAAAAAAAAAATAATGAACTGGCTTGAATCTTCGAACTCCTTACACACAAAGCATCTTTTCACGATTCGGTTTATCGTTTATGGGACGTGGAAGAGCGTAGATAATCTTTTTACTGCAGCTTGATGGGTTTTGTAGTTTGTGGTCTAGTGTGTAGCAGTTTACAAGCCTCATAGCACACGGATTTCTTTAGGGCAGAGTTTTGTAGTCCAGAGTACAATAGTACAGTGGTTTTCGGTGTGTAGCGAAACGAGTCTATACCCGTAAATGATGGGTGAAACCAGGAGAGAATTTCGACTACAATTTACAGTACAAGTGGTGTGCGGATAGGTAGTATGAACAGATGTTATGCTTGTTTTCGTCTTTTCCTTTTGAATTTGTTTATGCCGTAGGGGCCTCTTCATCTTTCACCATTCTTGAATAAATGTTAGTTGTAGTGTCCCTTGATAACAGGGTGATTAACAGGAGAGCAGTTATCTGTGTAATTGCTGTTAGTACTACGGTCGAGACTGTTATTACCACAGTGATTATTGTCATCTTAAATACTTACTGCTGTTGCAAATAAATAAGAAATAGCAGCATTATCAGTACGTTGTTTTTGGCTCACCTTTATTTTGGTTATTTTATTTATTTTTGCGCGTGGTTGTTGTGTCTTGGTTAAATTTGTTCCCTTTTTGTCTTCATTTTCACAAAGATTGGAAGCGTTTTGACTCGATACCTTCCAGATAGTTGCATTCGGTAATTAAATGTTATTCGTTCTAGAAAACACACCCGCGTAAGCACACATACACTCGAATTTGCTTTCAGTCTTTTTTAAATTCAGTGATTGTTTATTTCTTCATCATATATTAAAGCTTTGATATAAAAATACATGCCATATTATTTTCCATTTCCACGGTGCTTGGAAAGAACAACAAAATGACGAAGGGCAGAATGCTGTTAAAAAAAAAAAAAAAAAAAAATGCAGTGCATATACTGGAAGTTGCTGAGTATAGGAAAAATAAACGAAATCCATAATTTTACTTTACATTCATTTCACAAAGACAGCTAGCTATAATTTATTGTAATTTTCTTGACTGTATATTTTGTGACTGCTGTGACAACTTGATTAATAAAAAATCCATTTGTGATTGTTGTAACTAGTCTTACTCGTACTATTATAATACATTCCTTTAGAAAAAAATATATGTATATAAAGAAAAATGTATATAGAAAAAAAGAAAAATGTATATATATAAGTATATATATTATAATATTATATATATATATATATATATATATATATATATATATATATATATGATCAGTCTGTCGGAAGTTCAGACTAAGAAATGTGATTGTGATATTGAAAAATAATATCCCATTCTGTTTGATTATTATTTTTTTTCATGAAGGTAATTTGAATATCTCAAATAAAATTTAATACATATAAACAATATTGTATTGTTAATAAGTAAACAATAAAGAGTTACACTGTTAATAACTAAAAGAGAGAAAAGAAAAAGTGCTCACCATAAGAATATGCAAGCACAAGAAAACATTTGCATAAAATAATAATAAACTTCAACGAATGAATATGTATCTCTCGACAATTGCATTCATAATGACTAACAACAGTTATCCTAGCAAACACAGACATGATTGCTTTTGTTGTTGGCACAACAGTTGTGTTAGTCAGCACTAATATATCACATATATACTGTATACTCTTTATATACATTCATATATACATATATATATATATATATATATATATATATATATATATATATATATATATATATATATATATATATATATATATATATATATACGTATCAACACACATAGACACACACACATATGGGTATATATGTATATATATATATATATATATATATATATATATATATATATATATATAATATGTGTGTGTGTGTGTGTGTGTGTGTGTGTGTGTGGTGTGTTTATTTATTCATCTATGTGTTTATATATTTATTTCATATATATATATATATATATATATATATATATATATATATAAGTTCCCAGCTTTCTACCTGTCTACATGCCCATATCTATACAAAAATACACCACATTAGATACTAATACTGCCAGATTTAACAATATCCTCGTAACACTACTCATTCACCCGCACCCAAATCTCCCTCCACAGAACCGCATCCTGTCAGCAGACGATCAGGAGATGAGCCCCATGTCGATCCACTCGTCGAAGGCGCTGCACATCGTCTCCCTTAGGAGCGGGTTGTCGTCCATGGAGCGCGCGACCTCCTCCGCGCGGTCTGCGTAGAACTCCTTTTCGTCGTCGACCTTGGTGAAGTCCGGCGCGTCCTCGGAGTCGACCACCATGAGGGGGATGTACATGGACGCCATGAGGACGCCGTACATGCTCCTTGCGTTGTATTCCTCCGTCAGTTCCTCCACGGTGAAGAGCGGGGGGATCCCTCCTGCTTCCACGGTGGCGTCGAAGGAGGACGTGTACGTCTGCAGGAAGTGCGGGAGAGAGTTCCGTCTCAAGGCGCCGTTGATGCTCGAGTACATCAGGGTCTGGAGGTCGAGGGCGGGGGAGCCCTGGCGACACAGCTGCAGGTCCAGCAGCATGACCTCAACCGGATGGCCGCCGTCGTCATACCTGTGTCCGGTGAAAAGTATGGAAACTTGAGCCATTGCATAGGGGAGTAAAATGTACATAAACACAAGCATGCACGCGCGAAAGTCCTCAGATGCACATACTTGTTAACATGTCGGTAGGAACAGATCCAACAAAATAACAAAAAGCGAAAAACAAATTAGCGATGCCGTGTAAAGTCAGATTAGAGTATGTCACTGGCTTAATTTTAATAGAATCTGAAATTCTGAAAATATTATTAATATGAATAATGGTTAGATACTGAAAAAGTAAAAATGGTGTTAACAATAGTATTTAAGTTTAAAAAATATATATATTTTGAATGTTACTACGGTTACGGCGTGCATGCATCAACAAACCTAAACACAAAATTGTTGGTCCAGCAGTCTCCGTGACCGAGCATAGCGAAGGGCGGCCGCGTCTCCAGCTGTTCATCAAAGACGTCGACTCCTCGAGGACCCAGCTCCCTCAGCCACCTTGCCATGTCCTCGTACCCTTTGGAGTTCTCCGCAATCGCTGTCGCCGCCAGGAGGTCTCCCGATATAGCAACAGCCATGTCTTCTCTTGGTATTTTGCTGTTGTTTGTCCAGTCAAGCGCCAGGAACTTGTGCCTGACCCTAAGTTCTTCGACTGAGTGTTTCCGCTGCAGCAGGACTGAAGAAGCGTGAATTCTCGCTAACTCCTGCAGGACAAGCACGGCGTGAGCGAAGTCCAGCCCCTTCTTGCGGTCGGCCATCCGGAAACCCCGAGCTGTGAGGTCCTCCAGGATGAGTATCTCTCGCTCTTCGCACTTGCTGTAGTGGTAGAA